GGTCATAGTTCTTAAGGTATTACAATCATTTTGATTTTTGTGACAGAAACCTCACTCTATTACTTCCAATGTTTTGTTTTTAATTTAAGAGAAGCTATTTGGACCTAACGCTATGAATTAGGAAGTTATCTACCCAAGTGCCCTTTAAGATCAGTTTACTTTGTGGCACAATATGAAGAAAGTTTAAGTCGCAATTTTCCTCTCAATTTAACTATTCTAACTGCTGGTCATCTTTACAGAGACAGGGCTTTCATAACATCTTGAAACACATCTGTTTGGAGAAGGGTATATACTCTGTTGTATTAACTGCAGAAATTGTACTCAGGTAGGGAGGGCTGGAAAGCAGGATCCCTTTGTAAATTATGTTAACTGTCTAACCCAGGGGTGTCAAATGCATTTTCACCAGGGGGCACATCAGCCTCATGGTTGCCGTCAAAGGGCTGAATGTAATATCAACTCAACAGTTAAGGAGTAGCTACATTTATATAGTCCTAAAATTACATCAGATCTTTGAAGGCAACCGAGAGGCTGATGTGGCCCCCAGTGAAAATGCATTTGACACCTCTGGTCTAAACCACTCTGCTGAACACCTGAACTAACGTAAAATATTGGCTATCAACTAACTGTAAGAGAAAAAAGAGGGAAGCTTGTGGAGTACAGGGGTGGAAAAGAAGGCGAGAACAGTAAGAATGGGAACCAAAAATTAGGTGTCTATTCCATGTTAATGATCCCGCAAGAGAACAAGACAGTATACTGAAAACAAAAATGAATGACTTATTTAACATTAAGCATTTATTAAGTCACTGGATTCATATTAAGAATGGAAAAAAAATTTGATCACCCTAGGAAAATCAAGTACTTAAATCTTAGTTATCTCAATGGTTATCAATTTCCTCATTTGTAAAAAGAGGACCAAATCAAAAGTCTCTTCTATCACTAAAAAAAACAAAGATAATCTAAGTTTGGCAAACATATATTAAATGTCAGTGTCATTTTTAGCTAGTTCTGATCTTTACCTATCTGTAGATGTTTGAAAATTATAAATTTGATGTCTAAAGTGTTATATCCCTAAAAAACAAAAACCTAAAAACAGTTTTAAGCACATAATACAAATATACACAAACCAGACACTTGTACCATATTTAATGACATCACGCATGCTGAAACAAGGACTTAGGTATTTATTTTTAAAAATCTTAAAAATTCAACGTGAAACCTGTGTTTTAATTTCAAACAGGTGCTATATTTCAGACTGGCTTCTTTTATAAAGTAGAAAAACTACCATGGTAAGTACCAATAAAGTTGATAGAAATATTTCCAAAATAAACTAGCCATTTACAGAACTTTATATAAAGGAAAAAAAAATGACACCATACTACCATCTTTCCTCTTCAAATTCAGTCATTTCATTGGCTATTCCTATATGTTGCTTCATTTAGTAAGGTATACTCACAGGTCTATAAAGGGATGAGGATATGAATACCAAGTTAAGTTATTTTAAAATATACACTATAAATGCAGAAAACATGAAAGTCACTTAGAATTCCAATCAGAACTGATAGATCTATGCATGACTATTTTTAAGCCATCTTGACTACAATTTTTTTTATTTGAAAGATTTTATTTATTTTTAGAGAGAGGGGAAGGGAAGGAGAGAGAAACATCAGTGTGTGACTGCTTCTCCTGCACTCCCTACTGGGGACCTGGCCTGCAACCAAGACATGTGCCCCGACTGGGAATCTAACCAGTGACCCTTTGTCTCCCCCAGGCCCACGCTCAATCTACTGAGCTACACCAGCCATGGCACAATCACTACAACTTTCTTATAGCAGTAGTTTTATGTGGTCAGATAGTGTTCTGTTTAACACTAACATGTTGGTCATAAAAGAGTAACATATATGTTACACAGTTTGATTGTTATGATTTCTGCCAATTGCCAAAATGTGCATAAGCTGTTCTAAAGCCATAAAAATGCATTTTACACAGGCATAATGAATTTAAGGTGAACAAAAATGATAACCTGAAATGTGAAGCATTTTAATAAGATTTTGGGGGCCTAGAATTTTGATAAGATGTCAAGATACACTTCCTGATGGAGCAAAATAATAAGTTCTGGCTTTTGCTTATTATAAATAGGTATAAACATAGGTTGTCTGTGCTACATGGATTCTCAACTTAAAACTTAAAATGTCATCTCAGATAAGGTCAAATTCAAGGAGTTCATCATCACCAAGCCCTTACTATATGAAATGTTAAAGGGACTTACCTAAGAAAAAGAAGATAAAAAAGATGAACAGTGAAAGGACAGCAAACTCACAGTTATTAAGAACCACACCTAAAACAAAAGCAAACTAAGAGGATAGCTAGATCAGGAGCAGAACCATAGAAATGAAGATCACAGGGAGGGTTAGCAACAGGGGAGTGGGAGGAGGGGAAGGGGGGAGAAGGTACAGAAAATAAGTAGTATAGACAGTAGATAGAAAATAGATAGGGGGGAGGGTAAGAATAGTAGGGGGAAATACAGAATCTAAAGAATTTGAGACACATGTTCATGAACTAAAGGGGGAAATGGTGGGGGAGGGGTATGCAGGGTAGAGGGGAAGGGAGGGGGGAATAGAGCAAATGTAATGGCATAATCAATAAAAAAAAAAAACTTAAAATGTCAGAATCCATTAAATTCATGTTTATTAACAGCAATGGCTATCAATTACTCATCATCTAATGCTGTCAGGCACAAAGCTACACCTGCAGATAATTAAACTATTTACAGATGAGGCATCAGAAGTCAATCAAGATCATGTATACTACAAACATAGTGAGCATAACCAGGAAAGGAATAGTCTGACATTAAAGGTGATGCTTGCTCTCTTCCTCTTTTTTTTTTAATGTACAGACAAGAAAAAAAATGTGGAAAGAAATCAAGTTTTTTTTTCCCCCCAACACTAATCCCAACTAAAGTTGAAGTAAGAAAGGCTAGGAATAAGCTAAGTAACCCAGTACTCAATGAACTCTTTCTTAATTATCCAATTTTAAATTGGTAGTTAGCAAGCAGTATCTGGATTCTATGCCTACTCTTGAGACTATTTCTGAGACAAAAAAAAAAAAAGAGAGATAAAGAAGCAGAATAAAAAGAAATGGCTCGAGCTTCACTGGAAAAAGGACCTGAAAATTTAAAAGATAATGAGATCACTTCAGTCCAATCCACTCTTTTTCTAGCTTTATCAATGTACTCATGCAAGCCTAAGTCAAATTGGTTTATCTAAAACACATTCTATTACTATTCTATGCCTATGCACATTAAGCCACACTAAGTGCAAATACTTTGTGCCTCACTCCCCCTATACCCTCTACTGTTGAAATCCACAAACATTTTTCCCCCTAGTCTAAAAATTCTATTGCTCTGTGAGAGGCAGGAACTCTCTGGCTGAATAATTATACCCACATGACTTAATCCCAAACCACATTATAAATAGAGTAGGGATTTAGTCTTGGCTTGCAAAATGAAAGGCACACATATCTGAGGGAAGAGGAACATGATGGGCAGAAACTAAATTCGAGGGCTTAACAATGCTGGCAAGCCCTGGCTAGTGTGGCTCAGTGGATTACCGGCCTGCGAACCAAAGGGTTACCAGTTCGATTCCCAGTCAGGGAACATGCCTGGGTTGCAGGCCAGGTGCCCTGCCCTGTAGGGGGCACAGAAGAGGGAACCACACAATGATGCTTCTCTCCCTCTTTCTCCTGCATTTCCTCACTCTAAAAAAAAAATACACACACACACACACACACACACACACACACACACACACACATACATATATTGGCAAAGTGTACTTGAAAAATGGAAAAAAAAACCAACCTAAAGTTTTATAATATGATAGAATCAATCAAAATATTTAGCATCAATTTATGTATCCAACTGACTTGCTAATATTACCATAAACTAATGCTGCAGCAAAATTTGGCATCAAATCAGATTACCTGTTTTGATAAAACAGACATATTTGCCCTAGCTGGTGTGGCTCTGTGGATTGAGTGCTGGACTGCAAACCACAGGACCACCGGTTTGATTCCCAATCAGGGCACATGCCTGGATTGCAGGCCAGGTTTCTTGGTGTAAGGTGCACAAGAGGCAACCACATATTGATGTTTCTCTTTCTCCCTCCCTTTCCCTCTAAAAATAAATAAATAAAATCTTTTTAAAAAGACACATATTTAATAAAATAGGAACAAAAACTAAGTGCCTGTTGTATGCCAGGAACTTTGTATGTTTGCTACAAAGAAGACACCACCCATCAAAATCTCAGAATAAGAGAAAGAAGCAACATTAACATGACTGTGATTAAGTACAGAAATAACAAAGTAAAGGGAATGTCTCATTTTCCGGTGATAAAGAGTTTACTACAAATCAGTAATTGGTCCTGGATCTTTTGTATCTCATTTAATCCCCAAGCATTGCAATGAAGCAGTTAAAATTTTATTTGTTCTATGGATTATTAAACTGAGGCCCAGGAAACAAACTACCCAACTTCTTGAAGAGAAAGAGCAAATATTCAAACTTGTGTCATTTTAACTTCAGTGGTGTCCATGAGGCTCATTAGGAGGGCCAAGGATCTTTCTCGTCATAGGGTGTTTGGACTTAATCTTCAAATCATTGGTAAATTAAGTGTTTTGAAAAGATGTTTAATTACAGGAATTAAGATAAAAGGGTAGAACTATTAACCAAAAAAGAAAATATAGTGAAAGGTACCTTGGCACTTGTTAATTTGTTCTAGAACTTGCGATGAGTGCTCAAACCAATGAGTAATGAATAATTTTTTCCCAAAAGAAATAATGTAATTAGAAATAATTCATGAAAGTTCCCCAGAACGTTCACATTTTTAATGAGCTAATACTAAGTAATGAGGTTGTTCTTTAATACAGAACCCTAAAACTAAACATGGATTTAAAAAAAAAAAAAAAAGCAATGAATTACATATAAATAAAGTTTAACTTCACTTTACCTGTAGTGAGTTTTCCTGGAATAATGAGATGATGGTGAGGTGGAGGAGGAAAGGGGGGAACTGTTGGAAGAGGAGCGCTCTTCCAAGACAATTTCAGATGCTTTCTCAGGGATTTCTTCTGTTTTCTGTCTCTTCGCTTCACTGAACACTGCTGGAGACTCGGATTTAGAGTTTCACTTAAAATCTATCAAAAGAAACTTGTTTTTGTCTATGTTTCAAAATGTTTCTAAAGTGTGACATTGTCTGTTCATTAAACAGGTCCACATTTCGGCTTGCTAGAGCTTTGTCTGGGTGATACTTTTCCACAAAGTTTTGAACTTCAATCCACTTACTGCACATTTCCTTTATCAGCGCAGTAGACGCTTCCTCCCTTCCTTCCTCCCCACCTGAAGAAATTTTCTCAGCCACTATTTCTTGCTGTTTCTTTTGAAGTTCCTGTAGCTCCTTCGTGCTGAGCTCTGCTCTATGCTCCTCCACTAACACTTTAGCATCTTCATTGACCTCTCCACACCTCGCCATATTATGGATGCCAATTCTCTTTTTAAATTTATCGAACCACCCACGACTGGCTTTAAACACTTCAGTGCTCACACCACTTGTTCCAGGCTTGTCTTTTAACAGATCAGCATGCAACTGCCTAGCTTTCTCGCAAATTATTGCCTCAGAAATGCTGTCACCTGCTAATTGTTTTTCATTAATCCAGATGTAAAGCAATTTTTCAACTTCTTCCAATGTCTGTGAACGTTGCTTACTTACAGACTTTACACCTTTGGCAACACTAGCTGCTTTAATTGCTTCCTTATTTCTCACTATTGTAGAGATCGTTGTTCTCGGCATCTTGAATATTACAGCAATATCAGTCACACCTATACCACTCTCATACTTAGCTATGATCTCTTTTTTCTTTTCAATTGTGGTTCTTATTAACTGCCTTTTAGGCTTAGTGGTATCACCCTTAACCTTTTTGCAACCCATGATTAGCACTTAAAAGTGCACAAAAGTACAGACAGTAATGATGAATACGTGGAGGTTCTGTACTGTTGGTGAGCTACCGTGAGATTGATGGGTCGACTTCCGTTTCATCCAGAGAGAGGGGTGCCAAATGACAAGCAAGCGATGAGTGATGAAATATTTTCTCTTGCAGGGCAGTGCTGTAACTCATACAAGTTTTAGCAAGTGTGCCGAGTCCCAAAACATTTTATTCTCGTCAAAATGCAACAAATACAGGGTTTGACCAGTTCTGAAGCCGACTAGTACCGAGGTATTACTGCATAAGGAGAAAAGTTGAGAGAGAAAAGAAGTTGTTTTGAATTTGTTTAGTTTTAAGTATCAATATATTTAGTAGCTCTGAGTACAGAGATTATAAATTCTGGAGTCATTAATAGGTAAAGGTGTGGGAACTGATTAACGTAATTGGTGAAAAGATGGCTGGGGACATAAGACTAGGAACTAACAAATTAAGAAGCAGAAGCAGCTACAGTCATACCTCGGTACCCATCAGCATCAAAACTCAGCAAACCCTGTACTCAGTTGCATTTTGATGAGGGAAAAAATGTTTCAGCACTGGCGTTTGCTGGGGACTTGTTGCACTTGTTAGAACTTGTATGAGTCAGGATGCTGCCCCACAAGACAAAATGCTCCATCCTTCAGTACTCGTCAGTTTTGGGTTTTGGCACTTGTTACGAGTTCTGGAATGAATTAACTACGAGTACCAAGGTACCACTGTAATGAAAACAGGAAGGACAGAGTAGCAAGTAGCAAAGGATATTAGTACATAAACCAAGAAGTTTTAATAAGGTATATATAGTCTAAGTAATTAAATGTTATAGATTATATAAGACCACCCACATCTGGAGCACATTAAAATACAGAACTTTCACAAAATGTTATAAAGGTAAATACTGTATTTTGCTATGTATAATGTGCTCCCATGTATATACGCACACCCACATTTTTGTGCACATCACACATGGGATTATTATACCTACGGTATGTAATCATTATACTCATGCAAACATGCATCCTTATTTTCCCTCAAACTTTTGGCAAAAAAGTGTGCATTATACTCAGCAAAATATGGTTATTGCATACAATGTTTCATTATTTCCCAGGAATACCAATGTTTACAGTCTGAATTTGTGGGGGGAAAATAGGGTGGAACTAGTTAACTTTTAGACACCTAAAAAATCCAAAGGTGGCGCAAGTAAACCCTTGACTTCAGATGTCATCATTAGAATATCTCTTCTCCCAGCCATTTAATTTTCTATTTTTCAATCATTCATTTGACATATCCTGTTATCTTTAACTCCCATTTGCCCTTTAACTGGCCATAAAGTGAGAACATGAGAATAAAGACAGAAAGTGGCCACAGAATGCCTTGCATAATATGGTTAGACAAGTTGTGTTTACGACACAGAGATGCCTAAACTACCACATTATTGTTATCATATGAACCTGAGAAAAGTATTTTTTGCTGCCTTTTCAGGTTTCCACTCTTGTACAGAATGAAAAAAAGTAATCTGGCATTTCTTTCTTACCCAAAAGTTTCTTCAGGAATGAGCTGTCATCTTAGCACAGCCTTCCTTCATTAAACATTTAAATACTAGGGATTAAACTAAACTGGAGGAATAGATTCACTCTTTTCCTAATGACACTAAAGCTTATCAGAAAGACATTAAGAACTAGGCACTGAGCATAATGCATGGAAAGTATGTAATAAAGAAGTTTAGAAATTCCTGCTGGAAGTTGTCAAACTCTTACCCTGCTATAATAATTTAAGCATTTAACAAAAAGGTAGCAATTTCCCCAAATTTAGAGTTAAACCACCTCATGTGCTCATAAAGCATTCATCTAACTTTGCCCTTAGGAATCAAGTCATTGGTGATAGAAGCAACCTAGTTTGAGAGGGTTAAACAAGTACATGATTTTCACAATTTTTGGAATTGTTTTACATTATTTTACTTTCTAAGGAGGAAAACTTCCTTAGGTAGAGAATCCTAAAATGCAGCAGAAAACTTGGCTTAAAAAAATTTCCACTCCTTATAGAATCTTTTAATTTAAAAAGACTTAAACATGCTACCTATCATTTTTGTGCTTTATAAATCATCTAGTGAAAGGTATTTCTTAGGATAGACATGAATAAAATACTACTATTATTACTATGACTAACCAGACACAGTTAAATATGCACCTGCATGTAATTTAGCTATTTAAAAAAAAACCCACCAAAAACAAATGGAATCCTTTCCTTTTCCTAGGTCTAAAATGTGGACATGCCAGCTTTCTTGCTCGATATGTCTATTAAATCTACTCAGCTTTGACTTTCATCTTTGAAAGCTACCAAATCTCAAATAAATAATTATTTTTCTGGAAGTCAGTTATCTCCAGGCAAGTAGCATGAATGTTTCTGCAATGTCTGTGTACTTTCTTAAAACCTATTTTTTCCTATTCCCTCACTCAGGCTTTTCTTTATCTACATTAAGGGCACTAAGAGCCAGACCTGTCCCTCAGGAGAATGTAGGTAAGATTTAGAACAAGTTTCTAACACACTTCACTGTCCTGTGTCTACATTTAAAACTAGGTCTTCATTCAGACACTACAAGCAGGGCACGAAATATGAACTTTGGTGAAGTCAGAAAGTCAGGTGTTAAAATCACTGCTGTACGACCCGTTGGATCAAATTATCACTTAACTGTGATAAAGTATATGTATTAGTATCAAACATGTTTCTGGGCAGAAAGCACTCTTTGGGGGGGGGGGTGAGGAGAGTTACTAGCAGTTAACAATTCCTAGTCTGTCCTTAAAATCAAACTTTCCAGTAATTCCCCTCCATTCTCAGTAAACTAGTATGAACTGACCTGGTGTGGCATACCCTGCTAATTAAAACACCCACACACATAAACTCAAAACTTGTTATATTCCTCAGTCCTTGCAATTCCAACTATTATAAACCTCACTTACTACCTAGTTATCTCTCCTTTCTTTGAGGTTAACTGTCAGCAAAAAATGGAAGTGGGATTAAAATTTAAGCTAGGTTTACAAGGTAGCTAGGTTAACAAAAACAGAGAAATTATCAAGTAAACATTTAATAAATATAAATTCTTTAAAAGTTCTAATTACTGAGTTTTTCTCGTCAAAACCTATCTGAAAATGTAAGGGCTAGGAATTATGCTTTGCGTGTTTTAAATATAGTAGGGATGCAAATTATTTGGCTGAAATTAGAGCTGGAGGTTCAACCAGCAACTGGAGGAATAGGCACCAATAAACACAGTTTTAAATTTGAGACACAAGTATCAGTATACTTTTGGAGGGGTACTTTTCAGTTACATGAATCACTGTTTACTAACTAGGCTGATATCCAATTTATTTTGGACCAGTACCACCGAAGTTTGTTCACCGAAGATATATTCTATACCTCAAAGACAATGCTGACTGCCACTGTTCTGTGGTGTGCTTACAAAAAAAGGAGCAAAAAGCCAAACCCAATTTTTTAAAATAAAAGGTACAAATGCAAGATTAATGCTGCATACTTCAACGCTTATAGCAAACATATTCATTGGAAAGGCCATAAAATACTTTTTTTTTAAAAACAAGAAAAATTCATGAGCTCAAAATAGGAATACATAAACAAGTTACCCTCAAAATTTTGTTTAAACCACCACTCATTTCTCCAAGCAAATGAAGGACCACTGGTAGATTTTAGAGCTCTTCTACACTGGCCCTGCTTTTAGATTTGATACTTTACATTACACAATAAAAGACCCTTTTTACTAAATCTACTGTTAAATCAGTCCAGAGAATGGTGGGCTCTATAAGCCCCCCCCTTTTTTTGCTAGCTTATTTGCTTCATCTAGGTGGAAACAATACTATTAAATTTTCAAATTAAATTCCATACTTAAAGATGTTTTAAACTTGAACTAAACATAAACAGTTAATAGGGAGACTATGGGCCTAATCTTTTTGGATAGCAAAAGGCAGGTAACTTTGAAAACGTTTTTTGACTACTTAGGAATAAACATATTACTTCTCTCTTCTTAAGAAAAATAATTTGAGTTGATTCAAGGTATCCACAACCCTTAAAAGATTTTTGAATACTATTGTAAATATGGATTTCAGGTTTAGTGTTAATGTTAGTAATCCCTTGCTGAAGAGATAGCATTTCACTCACTTTTCAGGAAGTTAAACTTACCAGGTTGTGTACATTGTTTAACCCTAACATTTTAAGGTGTATTTAATGATGTAAGTTCAAACTGTTCTCAGATATAAATCTCTTCATTCTACATTTAGAAGACACTAAAGTCAGCAGGGGGTGGAGCAGAGGAAAATTTCATATACAAACAAAATTCAGTTAAAAGTCACAGATGATTCAGAATATTTTTACTATGAACTTGGCATTAATCAATGACAACAAGTGACAAAAATAATTAAACTCAAGGGCATAACAAGTTGAGTCCTCCAGTATCAGAGCAAACAATGCTATATACCAAGATAATCCCTAAATGCATTGAGGAATTATACAACCTACAAAAACCACTGGCTTTACATACTGTTGGAATTCTGTAGGTTAAAATTTGAGAAATATGGATGTCAACTAAAATTAGGGCCATTTTTTTCCCCTTGGTACTCCATTCCTGGAAGTACTGCAATACCTTGTTGGTGTGCAGAATGGACACAGCAAGTCCCTATTCCACCTCCCTGCTCCAGAAATACATTTAATATACTCTCCTTGGATAGAAAATGTCCAGATGTGAAACTGATAAGAACAGATATGACACTTGACCTTAGCCAAAAGGCTGAGGACCAAAAAGGCCAGTTTTTTTCTTTCCATCTTTTTGGGGTGGGGGCAGAACTATTTCTGTCCCATAAGTTGGGTCCCCGTTCCCACTCATCTTTTAAAAGAAGGAGACTTTGCCCCTGGGCCTCCCTAACCTTTCATTTCTTCTATAAATAAGCTCTGATCGTCAAACTTTTTTTTAAAGTAAAATTATTTTACAGTTTGGACTGTATAGTCCAATAGTAAAGTGTTATCAATCTCTAAAGAAGTGTATACACCTGACCGTCAACAAAGTGTCAAGCATTGGGTTAGGTCACCAATGTAAAGACTGGCTTATTTTACTCGGAAATAGTAATTCGGAAGAGTCTCAGAGACAAAGGCTCAAGCTGTATTAACTAAAAGTGGGAAGCAACACTTCAGACAGTTGTGAACAAAGGCAGGAAGATATGAAATAGCACACAATTTCGAGATGGTATTCAGTTTAGCCAGTCAGGGTTAGATTTGAAGAGAAATAGGGAAAGGAAGGTTGGGGTATGATTTACTCAGATAATGAAATATGAGAAGTGAAATTTTCTGAGAAAATGGGTGAAGAAAGTTCGTAGGAATCAAATACTACTAAGCTTTATGTTTTTTACAGGAGTTCGGGAAACTTGTGGCCCCTTTAAACCTGAACATTCCAGCTGAGGCTCTGAAATGAAAATACAGGAATTACCAGGCAATAGGCACCAATGAAATTGCCCCCAAACATAAAATGCAATAAGGTAGTCAAAGAAAGTTAGTAATTGCAAATAGTTATTTTCATAAGCTGGCTCTTTTCCTTATAAAGGCACTCAACAACTAAGAACTGTCTAAAAATTACTTTAAAATCTTCTGATGTCATATTTACCCCCTCTTTTCTAAGCAAGAATAAAAGCTGCTACAATGTTAAGGCGGACAACTTACATAAAATAGACCACTAAAGCTACTCACAAGTCCTTATAGGCAAAACACCCATTTATATTCGAAGTGCACAAAAACAAAACATTAATCACTGGCTTTTCAATTCATTCAAATTAAGTTACTTCACTGGAAAAAAAGCCACAAAAACGAGTAAGGACTTAAGTATACACGAATTAATTAAAAACATTAATCTTGTTTTCACAAGCCTAGAACTAACATTAAAGGAACCAGCACAACCTTGACCCTAAATCAAACTTATCTTTTCAGGTCCAGTAAACATCTCCTCCTGGCACCAACAGAAGTGGTTCCGCCAAAAAAAACATGCCAGAGATGCAAACATCCTAGCTAAAAAACTCCCATTTCTCACCAACATTGGAGAATTATTTTAAATTTTCACTCATTTAGTTAATGGCTACTATAGTAGCTTAGCCAAGTGGGAATAATCAAAACGAGTTCTCTTACTGCATCTGCTAATTTAGACCTTAGGAACTTTTGAACTGCTGGAGATCTTCACCTAGCAAGTTTTCGGAAACTAAAACTGAAGCTCACACTTCGACAAAAGTGATTTAAAGGTTTTAACGGTCATAATGGTGTAGGAATCTTAATATTTACCTAGTGATTATAACTTCCTTTAAAAAAACTATAGTAAGAAGTCGACAGAAAGACAACATAAAAGTATCGAAAACAGCCTTAAAACTTCAGGTTACACTAGCAGTTTTTATTGTGTATTACTTAATCATGCCTAAACTTAAACAGAAAAGCAAACACATTGATAAGATTGCACATTATTACAGAATATACAGATAGGGAAGATATGCGAAGTATGGATGGGAGGTACAGAAAGTTTGAAAAGGGCCCTCCAAATTCCGACGGTATAATTCCTCGGTTTCTTGCCACTTTCAGAAAATTAAAAGGTGTTTCTGGGTGTTCTTTAAACCTGCTTACAAATTTAGGGACCATTTCTTACTTGGATCTGAGAAACATCATGTTTTCTCAGAAAACTGATACTCCTAGCGTTGTGGCCCAGGAGCTAGTCTCTTTTTCATTCAGTCTAGTGGCCCTCAAAGAGTCTGGTCCTCAAGTAGTCAGTTGATTCAGATTTCCACATTAGGGACCTGCCACATTACATAAGTATACTTTGCAAGGAGATAAGTAGATAACAAAACGGCGTCAAGCCTCCTCCACCAACAGCCGTCACACCCGGTAAGGAGTGTCCCTCCGGGGGCTTCCCCCCGCCCCGCGTCGCAGCATTAAGCTGTATGGGGGAGGGGACGCACTCCTAAACAGTCATCTCTTCCTCTTCAGTCCGCCAAAGCCGACCGCACCAGTCTCCTCCGCCCAAGCCTTTTCCCCTCCCCCGCCCCAGCCTGAGACTGAGCCAAACCCCACAGGAATGCAGCCTAGTCACATGCGCTGCGGCGGCGGCGGTGGACGTGCCTCTCCCCCCGCGCCCCAAGGAGACCCAGCGCCATCTTGCCCTGACGCAGTTACAAAAGTCATGGAAGAAATTGTGTCTCCTCCTCCGCGCCAGCGCCCTAAAGTTCCGCAGAGGCCGAGCCGGGGCCCTCACCTCGCGCAGGGACAGGAGAAAATATCAGGGAAGAGCCTTGAGATTCCCTTCGCCACTGCTTGGGTTCCACATCGCCGGGGCAGCAACGAACTCCACCGTCACTTCTCCCTCTCTGCCTTTGCAACAGCCTCCCCCAACTGCTCTGGCCCTACCCGCTGCTGCAGCATGAGGTCATCGCTAGCCAATCACAACACGGCCGACGAACACATCAAGCACTAATTGGCTGCAGGGACCGCCTCTGCCTCTCCCCACCCCGCCTACCAAACTCTCCGGGTCGCAGTGAGGCAAGGACAAGACGGAAACCGCCATTTCGGGGAAAGACCCCGAAAACAGGAGCGGGAATCACCAAGCCATTTTAGTGGGGGGAAACCCATGTTTTATTCTTTGGTCTTGCCCTTTTTTCTTCGAGATAACTGTCTGCTCCCTCCCCCATTGAATCAGTCACATAAAAGATTCCCTCTCCAGTCCCCGCACTGTCCCGCTGGCGGGGAAGTCCTTCCCTGGGGCCAAGAGAAGTAGGAGACAGCGACGGCAACTGCAACGACAGCTTTTTTTTTACCCCGATACACGGTGGCAGGGAGGCGGCGCTGACCGTGGCTGTATTTTTCTTGCTGCTTCTACCCCCCGACCTCTTCCGTTTCTCACTCCTCCATCAAGACGGCGCTACCCTCGCCAACTCCTCTTTTATGTGGTGACCGGAGCCTGCGCACTGGATCCTTCTCAACCCCTAGTGGGTGTCGATTTACAGCCTAACCGAGTTCAAGCGGCACTGGAGGCCAGACTGGGGAGGGGGAAAAAAGGGGAGGTGAAGACCGGGACTGAAGTGGTTTGAAGAGTGGGAGAGAGTGTCTTGATTTAGGAGGGTGGTGGGAGGGGTGGTCCTTTCCAGGGCCTACTGTCATTTTCCCACCGTATAGTGGCGTGCGCAAGCTCACCAATAGGGATAGTCAGGGAAAAGGGGTAAAGAACCAGTCTCACCAAATACCGAAACTTCCCCAAACCTTCGGTGAATTGTTGAGTGTATCTTTTGTGAAAAAGACAAATTCCGTCCATCTCTCCGCCTCCCGTTGCCTATCTTGGGACCTCAGGAAAGGCAACAACTGAGGGCGGCAGCCCACAAGCAAAATGGCGGCGGGCAGCTTCGTCCCCTCCCCCTCTGCCCCTGCGGAGCGGGGCGGGCGGGCCCCGTGCACTGGCCGCCGCCGCCGCGGCCGCCGCCGCCGTCGCCGCCGCGGCCGCCGCCGCCGTCGCCGCCATTTTCCCAGAGCAAGAGGCAGTGACACTGAGCGGGCGCAGGGGGCCGAATCGGAGACCGTACCTGAGCTCGGGAGCGGCAACAGAAGGGGCATAGACACTTTGAGCAGCCTCGCCGTCGCCTCTGCGTTCCTATTGACTGCCGGAGTGCCCCCTCCCCTACTCCTCGGTTGCTGAAGAGGCTGCGCGCTGCTGTTTGGGGAGGGGGTGTGTGGAGCCGGGTCCTCTGTCCGCAGTGTCTGCTGTCGGGTGGTCGTCTGATCGTGGAGGTGTGGAGAGACTGCTTGGTGGCCGAACAAATAACGGGGTTCGGGTCTCTGGTGTGTAAACAGCACAGGTCAGTGCCTGTCGTCTCTTTGGGAGTTCAAGGGGCTTGCGGGGTGAAGGGACGTGTGTTTCCAGGGGGAAGGGGCCTTCCCCCTTTATCCTTTCGGAGAGTTGACTCTCAGATGTCTCGGTTGGGGCAAGACTTTGCTTATTGGAATAGAATTTATCCTTTCTCTTCCCTCTCCTTAGAAAGGGAGCATTATGGCGGGTTTTAGGGTTGGGGAAGGAGAAACTGGCAGTTAAACCCCCTTGAGAGTGGGAGTTAGGGAGGGGGTGTACTCCTCCTTGGCATCGGGTAAAGGCTGCTTGGGTGAGGAGAGAGGCTTGTGACTATTAGGGTTTGTGTCGGAGTGGTCCCGGGAGCTGCCAGCCCTCCCTTCCCTCCACCGCATCTCATTTAGATGCTAAAAAGCCGTCTAGGCCTCATTTTCTTCTTCCCTTTATTCACTGGCAGCCTCCGGTATAATTTTATCATCAGTACGGAGGGGGTTAAGAGAACGACCTGGGTCTCTAGCTCCCTTTGTGGGAGAACGAGACGGCTTCTCATCCTCTCGGAGAGAAGGTAAACCCGCCCCTGAGGTGGTCACCCCCGTACCCAGCCTTCTCAGTCTCCTCCCCCACTCCTCTTGTGATTATCGCTGTCCTTTACTGTACTGGAGCCCTAGAATCCACAATATGGCACATTTCAGAAAAGGTTATTTTGACCAAGGAATTGGCACAAACACTGGCAGCAGACACAGAAGAGAAACAAACGGTTCACTGTGCTAAACGGGGGAGGAGGGAGCGAAAAAACAATCCGGAGTGCTCTCTTCCACTGCCCTTAGTTTCGTGGAGACCCGTTCTTGCTAAGACTCTGTCTTAAAAATGATAGCATTTAAAGTCAAAGAGAGATCGCTAGAGTTAGCTTTAGACTAAACCCCGTTTTTTCTGATCGCCCCTTTTTAGTGATGTGAATAATGTAAAGTGTTTGGAGTTCTGGAGACCTTGGAGGGAATTAGGTGAGGCGCATTCAGTTCTAGGCTGGAGATACCAATACCTAATTGGAAAATAGCCCGTTTTTCCCTTTAATTTCCAAGATGGGGAGTAAAAAGTGAAATATCCCTCTTTTGTCCTTTACAGATTCTAAAAATGGCGGCCCCAGGCTGATGTTGTGGTAATCTAATCAGCTCGGGTCCTCCACACCCCATGCAGTGCGTTTGTCTGCAGCATATTACAGGCTTACTATGTTTACATGGAAAGACTGGGCTTTTTTTCTTCCCTAAACTGTTTACAAAAATGTGTTGATTTTACTGCAAATTGCAATGCTGGGTTTTAGTTTATTGATTTTATTGGTTTTTCCTGAGAGGCAAATATTTTTTCCCACCACTTTGGGAAAAAATAACACTCAAGTAGTCTTAGAAATTTCAATAGTGAGGCTAGGTACTCTTAATTAAACATTAAAAAAATTATTCGGGGACAAATAATAGTTTTTGTTCAGTTTAATCCAAGCATCTTTTAGTCAGTATACCAAAGTAAGTTAAAATGTTTAGTAAGTGTGTAAGGGCAACCTATTTTGTATGACTAGACGTTTTGATCTGGAGTGAAATTGTTTCTCATCCATCTCTTGACCAATTTTGTGAATTTCGGCTTTTGTACTCCCTCACATTAATTTTTAGGGAGCTGTACAAACAAGCCTAAACCTGTTACTTCACAGGGTGTGGAGACACTTGTTTTTCTCACTATTAAATTTTGCATTCATTTTCTGCATATGTTCCTTAAGAATTTTGTACGTTAATTCTGTATTTGTTTGATAAAAATGAAGCTCCATGCTTTTGCTGCCTTTTAATATTGTCTTATGGAATACTATCATAATTATGTAGGTAAAGGTTTTAGTTCTTCATCCCTCGCACCCCCCCCCCCCGCATGCCCATTTATGTATTATGGGATGTGGAATTTAGTCAGTTTTAATTGACTTTAAATAAAAGCCACACTGTAATAGGGTCTTGAATTCACTTTGTGCTAATTTCAGCATGTTATAGATTGAGGCAGAAAATTAAATGTTGTTGTTAACTGAATTTTTTAAAGTGTGAATGATGATTTCACCTCTTTAGTGGGAGGTTGATTTGATCTTTTTGGCCTGAACTAAGCAGTGAGATATGAGTGGGCAATTAATGGCATTTAATGACCATTCTCATTGTGAAGCAACTGAAAGATGAGTGCCTTTCAATCCAGCAATACTTAAAAAGGTTGGAGAGTATACACCCTTTCATGATTCTCTTATTCTATTGTAAATTATGCTCTAAAATATTTACAGTGGGATAAGAGAATCATGAAGTTCATATATGAACTAGATTCACAAGTTTCCATGCTGTAAGATAATTGTAGAGATAACTGGCACAGGGAGTTTTATCATGGAAGACTAAGCACATAACCTTACTTAGAGTCTCTGAAATATTTATTATAAAGTGAAATGTTGAGTTGTGTTGGGATTTGTAATATGCTGACTGATCATGTAAATCTAGATCCTTAACTGTTGTATTAAGATTGTGCATTTTAAAGACTAAGTGGTTAAAGAGGTTGGTACTTTAAATTTACTATCTAATATGGGAAATTTAGTTACTGTAGCCATAGAAGGAAACACTGTGTATACCATGTTTTTCTTGATAGTGACCTTGGTCAGGCCTAGACACATAAAGCATTTGGATTTATTTGGTTCAAACAACACCAAGTTAGAAATTATAAGAAAAGCTGCCTTCACTCTACTACTTTTCTTCATATTGGCTTGCTTCATTGCTTTGGTTTTGTTTCTTTTTGTTTTAATGTTTTGGATCCTGTAAAATGAGGCTTGCTTTTTTTAGTATATTGCACTGTATTTTAAGTGGTTACTTTATAAATAACATGGCTATAAATGTTTGTTTTTTTATTAATGTACACCCCAGTTGGTTATGTTTTATGTTAGGATTGTTGAGGTAAATTTTTTAAAGGGTTAGGCATTAATTTAGTTGTCAGAGTTTTGAAAGGTTTGGTCCCTTGGGGGAAAACTAGTCAAATGGTCTTTGTTCTTAGGATAGCTGCATTTGAGGCATTAGTTATCTGTTTAAGTGGATTTATAGAAAATCATAATGTAATTGAAGAGTAAATTTCATTTTTAGAAACTGCATTTTGATCATACTTTCCTTTTGTTGTCAGTATGAGTTATAGGATCCCTTTGATTTCAATTTAAGTTTAGAACCTTTTACATGGCTTCTCCATTTTTCTTCAGTTTTTCAGGTCTCCGATAACTCTCCTAAAAATTTTGGCTTCTCTATCTTCCTCACAGCTTCTAGTCAGAAATTTTTTACCATATATACCACAGTAAGTTCTAAGACTTGTTGGATCTAAAAATAAAGAAGTAAAGAGAAAAGCCAGTTGATAGGAGAAATTCTCCCTGCATACATACCTTTATGTTCTTATCAAAATGATAACTTCTTAAATTGGTTTCTTATTTCTAAGGATAATGTACCTATTTTCATTCATCAAATTCTTAAACCTATGGTTTTATTTTTAAAAGTGTATTATGTATATCCTAAAGCTGTGCTTTTCTGGAATTTACTACTGGGAATTAAATGTGTACTGCCATTGTGTCTTTGAAATGTATAAAACCAATTGTACTTTGAAGAGCTTTCAAAAACTGCTTAAAAAATATTACAATGGAATTTTTATAGAAGACACTATATTTTAAAAATATTTTAATAATGTATAATAACTTTTTTAGCAGATGGTAGGTACCCAATTTTTTGTTGAATTTACAGCTTTTGTTTAAGTGAACACATTTACATCTCAAACATTCATGGTGATCAGAGGACTATTTTAAATACTTGAGTCCAGTGAGACTTTTTAATGTTAAATATAGAATTATTTTTACTTTACAGTAATATTGTGTTTGTTCACTGGCAAAATAAAAAGGATACTATTTGCGATATTGCTGTATAAATGTTAGCTG